TGTGGGTGTAGAGTGTGTGTGTGTGTGACTGTGTGTGTGTGTGTGGCTGTTATTAAAACATTTGTACACACACACACATATGTACACTGGTGGCCAAAAGTTTGGAATAATTAAACTTTTTATGAAATGTTTTTCATACTCTCCAAGGCTGCATTTAATAGATCCATAAATACAGTAAACAGTAATATTGTGAAAAAATTGTACAATCTAAAATATCTGTGTTCTATGTGAGTATCTGTTAAACTGTAATGTATTTCTGTGATGTGCAGCTGTATTTTCAGCATCATTACTCCAGTCTTCAGCGTCACATGATCTTCAGAAATCAGTATAATATGCTGATCTGCTGCTCGAGAAACATTTCTGATTATTATCAATGTTGAAGACAGTTGTGCTGCGCAATATTTTTGTGGAAACCGTGATGCATTTTATTTTTCAGGATTCACAGATGAACAGAAGTTTCAGCAATTATTTGAAATAGAAATTAAGTGGTAATTAATGTAACGCATCCTTGCTGAATAAAGTGTTAGTTTCTTTTTTTTTTTTATCTTGCTCTCTGAAGGATCATGTGACACTGAAGAATAAGACTTTAACATAAAAAAATCTTAATTATACCAAACTTTTGGCCACCAGTGTTTGTGTGTCTTTGTTTTAAAGAGGATTTGTTCTAGAAGCGCCTTTGCTTTTAAAATGAAATGTGGACTGGTTTTCTTGTGTCTAGAGTACAACGACTTGAAACACGAGCTGCGTGAGTTTCTTCAACAATCTGCAAACCAGAGAAAGGTGAAGATGAGCAGCTGCTATGTCAGTCACTGAGAAGAATAAGAAGTGAACTCTGTTCTAATGGATGTAGTTTGTTTATAGGACGTGACTCCTGAGGCTTTCCGTGAGTTCTTGGAGGAACTGCAAACAAGAAAGAAGAGACTGTTGGACTGAACCCATCCACATCACAGAGAGTGTTATGAAACTTATCCTCTTTAATAAAGTCTCAGAGCAAAAACACCATTGCTAGTGTGTGGAACTTTTAATTATATCATTATTATTCTTATCTCTCTAGATTCCCTCTGTTAATTCTCAGCAAGGCACTGTCGGTCCACTTCGACTTGATGGGGTTAGCATGCTCCAGGACTGCTGATATAACAGCATAATGTGTTATTTTACAGTCACACAGTATTTCTGCAGTTACACTGACACGCCAGAAGGTGGTGACAGAAGACTTCAAAACACTGCTACATTTGGTGAACTTCTCTTTGTGATCATTATATTCGGGAGTGCAGTATAGCCCTGCTCCAGCTGCCATGTTTGCATTATCATGAGACCCCCAGCATCAGCCACAGCTCTCCCAGCCCTGCATGACTCAGCCGAAGCTGTAATAGAAGTCATCTTCAGGCTCCTACAGTGTGCCAATGACAACCGCTGTGAGACAGCTCATCTAGCTATACGGTCAGAGCAGAATGACAGTAATTAAACAGATATGTAGAGTCAAATTATAGTAAGATTTAGTTTGTCTTTTATTTAAATGCTCATTAAAAAGAACAAAACATGACTGTGTGCTTAACTGAGTAATATCCTTTATATCATATGCAATGTGTCCAAAAAATACGAAGAACATATTGTAACAAATGCGAAGGAGCAGTCGATGCTGTGCACACAGGCTTGAGCTGCTCGGGCTGATTCTGCAGAGAAGTGCGGTGTCGTGGCGAGGGTTCAGACAGCTTCACGCTTGCTCTGTGCCTCCAGGACACTTTCTAACATGTCTACGAAGGCAGAGCAATGTAAGTATGCCGCTGCGGGGTCATGTATGGAGTAATATATGGGATATGTCACATAATCTCGGAGGGAGCGGCGTTGTTTCGGCAGCAGTCATGTGTATATTTACAGAGATATAAATACTGTACAGTACGGAGGGTACAAATGTTAGAGCTTTACAATAACAGCTGACGGGAAGCTTTTAGACTTGGATAATGATAATGTGGTACAGAAGATGTGATCCCTGCAGTGAAACACAAGCTCGAGCTGTGCTTTAAACGCTGATGAACTGCATGTGTGTTCATCTAATCATGCTGTTATTTAGAGAAATCAGATGCTGGCTGATGTCTGAGATGTCTGAGCTGCTTGATAGAGGGCGCATCTTGCTGTCTGCTGTCTGTTTGATCGCCCAACACTCGGTCCTCCTCGAAAATAAGCATCAATGCAAACTATAGCGAATTATAAAATAATGCTAATCTTTTGACTGATCATTCATACTGCTATTCAAACACATGCTGAGCTTATGTAACACCTGATCTTTATTGGACACATGCTTCGTGTATCTGTGGTCAATAGCATTAGTCTAAGCAGGTCTAGTCTCACAAACAAGACTTTATAACTGGCTGTATATCATGCTGAGATGTAGATGAGCATTAGTCTTTAACTCAGCAGTCACAGGGTTTATTCAGGTTTATGCAGATCTACAGGAGACAAGATCCTCACAATGTAAAACTGCACATCATATAAAAGGACAAATGTTAAAAAACAATGTTCATAATGTAAATAAAATTGTGAGCACGTAATGTAATGTTTTTGCATACTGTAATAGGTTGTAATTATGTTATGGACTCATCATTATGGTAACTCATAATGTAATAATAAAGCGTAATTATAACCACGTAATCTAATAAATTTCATACAATAAATATCCGTACAAAGGAAACAAAATACATAACACATATTGTATTTCTTTACAATAGTCCATATTTTTATTTCAATCTAGTTCATTACTCACAGAGAGCACAATGCCATTTTTTTCTTTACACAGAATTTTGACCTTTTTTAAGCATTTTACATCACTAATAATCAGAAACATTCTGTTGTCTTTAACTCACACTCTAGTTGCTCCAAACCTGTCTTCAGTTAACTTACACTTGGGACAGAAAACAACATGATGAGAGTTAAAAATAGGAGCAAAACATCTGTAGCCAGTGTGAGAAATAAGAGCGTGTTCCTCGTGATACAAGAGCTCACAGATGCTGTTCTGTGACACATCTGAGCTCCAGCGGTTCGGTCACTGCGTTCATTTGTCCATCTGACAATCCAGACTGTCTGGTGTGGAAAACTCACTCGAAATGAGAGCAAGTTAGAAAACCTGTCTTCTTTCAGCAGTAACGCTGTGAATAGATGTCATTGTGCTGCTGTCAGGAGCAGTTTCAGAGAGATGATCATTTACTGATTTCTTCATCAAACAGCACACAGCAGCTGCAGCAGTGGATTGTTGAATACTGTTAAATGTTAATTATGTGTCACTTTGCTCTTTATTTGTTTAGTTGGCTCTAAGATTCGATACTTGCAAGAGTATCACAACCGTGTGCTTCACAATATTTACCCAGTGCCATCGGGAACAGACATTGCAAACACTCTGAAATACTTTCCCCAGACGCTGCTCAGGTAAGTGCACTACACTGGAAATATAGGTGCAATACATACACTGCTAATGTTGCGTTCTAATGATAGACAGAGAAGTTTCATGATTTCAAAGCAGATAAATAAAGCATCTTCTATCTAAATCTGATCATTTCTATAGCCACCGAGACATTAGAGCTCTATTTTATGATCAGATATATGCAGGAACCTCATGCATGCCAAAAGTACACATTTTGGATCAATTGTTTAAAGAGAGTGACTCAAACTGATTTTCAAACACTATCAGGGAAGTTCTGAGTCGAGTATTGTTTTTGTTTGTCCTTAATATTTGTCTTTTAAATGTCAGTAGTTATAGTTAGAATTATAGCTAGACTCACGAGTTCATGTTATGTGTAAGAGCTCTTCCTCATGTTCTCATGTCAGTAGAAACGTATACAGGTGCATGCTCGATGAAGCAGAGAAACCAAGTTTAGCATCTGAGAACAGTATGTAGTCGTGTGTATTTGTGATTCCTGTTATGTTTTTGTTTATCAGTGTTTTTGTCATGAAGAGTTGATAATGAGAGTACTATGATATGAAATACTGGATTTCCGTAGTTTTCAGTGGGTTTGAACGCTGTTCATGTAGCATTCTGCAGCTGAACCACCTCTCATTCCCAGCCAAACAGGGCTGACATGTGTAGCTTTGATAAGAGACAGTGTCAGAAATACTACACCATCCTGTTGTATGTAACGCACATCCAACTATGTTCTCCCTCCAAGACCATCACAGACCAAATTACTGCTGAGGTAGAAGTTGACAGGGGACAGCAGACACAAGCGCCCTCCACATCCCTCCACGAACATGAGGCATTGCTTTCGAAACCAGTGTATTCCTTTTCCATTACAGATTTCCCCAGCCGTAGACTAGTGACATTTCTGTTAGAACTGAAATCCATATGCCTGTCGAACCATTATTTCTCTTCCCCTAAATGATACTGAGGCAGTATCATAATGTATTTACATACAGACATTCTTTTTGACGGTGCAATAAACATGTGTTGTGACCAGGGAGCTTTTAGTCTAACCTCACATACATGTTTATTACTGGCTGAAGCATGTTTCTGAAGTGTCATCTCTGTATCGTCCTCAAAACGAATTATTTCGAGATTGCTCTCATCTCTGACAGCCCCTCCATTGCTCAATATTTCCCATGTGGCTCTTTAGCCTCCTGATCGGCCCGTGCTGCCCGTCCTCCGGGGATTGGCCGCTCGGAGGGCGCGGCGCGTTCGCCTCAAAGCTCGGAAGTATGGGGCTGCCACTGAAAACATGCCATTTTTTATATTTTTGCTCCTTGTCACCAGATACGCATGAGATGCAGTGATCGTAACGTGCTTCGCAAGTGCAAGCCTGCTTGATTTTGATCCAAACCAAAAGCCAGCTTTTCAAATGCATAGATGATGATGGCATATCTAAAGCAAATTCCAAAGTCTGTGGAGACACTGCATCCTATGTGGGGAATATCTGGGTTTGGTTCTTTTCTACTTACGCTGTCTCTGTAGAGCCATTTCAATGTAATGTGCTGTTTCTTTGTGTCTTTGTTGTCTCTTTTTTTCCCCTGTTCCCCCCCCACCCCTCCCTCGGAGCAGCATCCTGTCCCGTACAGGCAGAAAGGAGAGCCAGGAAGCTTCCAATTTGGCCGTGCCCATGACCATGTGTCTTTTTCCTGTGCCATTCCCACTCACCCCATCTCTAAGACCACAAGTCAGTTCCATCAACCCTACAGTTACTCGATCCCTCCTTTACAGCGTTCTGCGGGACGCCCCGGCCGACCGGGGTGGTGCCACCCAGCAGAGTCGGGAGGTTCAGATCTCAGATTACCCCTCACTGGACTATCAGGGGCTCTATGCCACCCTCGTCACCTTGCTTGACCTGGTGCCCCTGCTGCAGCACGGTCAGCACGGTGAGTCCTGCGCCGCCTCACTCCCGGAGACACATTTCTGAGTGTATCAGAGGAGAGAGAAAATCACACTGATTGTAAAATGCGTTGCTCGAAATAAGGATTACTGCTAGATGGGCGTTGATTTCCAGTCAAACAAATTCGCTCAGTCTTCTAAGAATCAGTTCCGTCACGGCGCACTTGCTGTCGGTGCCTGTTGTTCACCCAGAAATCATCATTCTGTCATCATTCACTCACCTCATGTTGTTTTTCTGCTGTGGAACATAAAAGAAGATATTCTGAGAAATGTCTCAGAAAAGTCAATGGTCAGTTGAAGTCAACTGGTTACTAATATTCTTCAAATATCTTCTTTTGTGTTCTGCAGAAGAAAGTCATTCAGGTTTGGAAGCACATGAGGGGAATAAATGCTGACAGAATTACCATTTTTTTGGTTAACTCTGACCTCTTTGAGATCCTCTGTGTGTTTCTCAGGAAATGAAAAGAATCTTTAAAAAAAATAGAATATTGCTGTAGTTTATTAATCAGCCAATATTGGATGATTTTGAGATTATCGGCAGGAATTGCTCATTCCATCTAGTGTCCATTTTCAATAAAAAGTGCTCTTTTTTCTGACAGCTGTCAGCCAGCTTTATCTCTCCTATCTGCTGGCAACTCACCATAAAGTCATCTGTCATTCACCATAAAGAGCTTTGACTGGATAACAACATTATCAACGTACAGTAACGTACAGTATACTAGTATTGCATTATGCAGCATTTGGATGCATTCTGAAGAAAACACAAGGCTTTAAATGTCATTGTACTGTTCAGAGATGAGTTGGTAAAGCTGCATGAATCTATAGAGGACATGGTTCTCATTCGTTCATGTGCTTGTCTTTCAGATCTGGGACAGGCCATATTTTACACCACAACATGCCTTCTGCCTTTCCTTAGTGATGATATTCTCAGCACTTTACCCTACACCATGATCTCCACTTTAGCCACCTTCCCTCCTTTCCTGCACAAAGACATCATAGAGTACCTGAGCACGTCCTTCCTGCCCATGGCCATATGTGAGTAAACTAACTTTATGTGACTATGAGAGATGTTTCTTCAAAGAAAGAGTCAGAGAATAACTTCAGTATTTGAGCGATCACATTGTGCTTCCAGTAGAGCACATTGCTGGTTTGATTAGCAGCAAGCACCAATAAATGCAGCACCATGTGACAATTGCGGACTGTGAAGTAAGAAATGTTTTTTTGTGTTGCAGTGGGTTCGACTCGAAGAGAGGGTGGCATTCCAGCATATGTCAATCTGTCTGCCTCGTCCATGCTGATGGTCACCATGCAGTACACTTCAAATCCAGGTACATATGCATTTATTAAGCTGCAAGAAAGTTACTTCTATAATCAATCACTGATGGTTATTTGCAGAAGACTCTATCATAGTGTAGCTTTTTCAGTACAGAGCGGGTTCTGGGCTCTAAATGTTTCTCTGGTTGTCTTCAGTATACCACTGTCAGCTTTTGGAGTGTCTCATGAAATACAAGCAGGAGGTGTGGAAGGTATGCTTCGGTTCTTCATGTCTTTTTGGAGATTTTTCCAAAAGCGCTTCTCACTGACTCAGAGATCACTGTGTTTTTAAAGGATCTTCTGTATGTCATATCCTACGGCCCGTCCCAAGTCAAACCTCCAGCTGTTCAAATGCTCTTCCATTACTGGCCCAACCTGAAGCCTCCCGGTGCCATCAGTGAGTACAGAGGCCTGCAGTACACAGGTGAGGTGTTTGATTAATTTCTCCAAACCACTGCTTTCAAATGGTTGGTTTCAATGAACCAGGTCAAAGCAATAATGTCAGCACGTATTTCTAACATCTCATCATTGTGGTTTACATGCTCAAACACATTTGGATAAAGTCAGGCACACGCCTGCATTGTGAATTATCCATTCAGTTATATTAATTTGGGGGGTTTATTGTCATCAATGTTTTAATCAGTGAATGTGACAGGCTAGTATTGATTAGGTCTTAATTAAGTTTTACTATTCTACAAATAGATTAGGAAAATCTCGGGTTACTTGACTGTAATGTTGTTCCCTGAAAAGCACCTTCAGGTTATACCCTTGTCTGAAGAGATGACTAGACATGCCCACAGTGCGGCAATTAGGTGCAGTATCTCGTTCCAGCTTTTTCAGGGAACAGGGTTACAGTTAAATAACCTGAGACATTCCCTATCAAAAGCTATACTCAATGCTGCATTTCATAACACTAATGGGAATGAGAATACCAACCACGGCATACTAGAAAGTGTCTGGACCCCTCAAGGCTGTGTAGTGTTTACGCATAAACGTTGGAGAGGTCTCAGACATGACCTTGGGATGCTGACTCAATACATGCTAGTCTGGAGTAGCATGAATATCCAAACTATAGAACCTGATGAACGTGTGCAGGGAGGACCAGACTGCAGCTCCCCTTAGTAGACTGGGCCCTATATAGGGCAATATAGCACCCTTAACCCAGTGTGACATTGTTTGCCAAGTGGCAGCCGCCCCCCAGTTGTGGCTCCTATAGCATATGAAAAGCTGCTCTGACTTGCGCCACTGGCTGGTGCGGTGGACGTAAATCTGAAGGGCACAGACTGGACACAGTAAGAAGTCTTTCCTGATCAGACATAGTGAATGGCGGAGGACAGAAGGCTTCAAGAATGACTAGATGCATGGTCGAGAATGGAACTTTAGGAAGATAATGAGAGTGAGGGTGCAAAATAGTCCAGGGGCAAAATAGGATAGCGAAAATCCCCAGTTCTCTTTAGAGAAGTTATTGCCATGAGAAAAACCATCTTTAGAGTCAGAAGCTTGAGAGGCGCTGACTCTAGTGGTCCTAACCAGACTCTCAAGTGCTACACCTAAGTCCCACGAGGGGACTGTCACTCTGGCAGGTGTCCTCCACCGCTTAGCCCCACAAATGAAACAAGAGACTAGAGGGTGTTTTCCTATAGGGTCCCCATCAATCAGAGCATGGCAAGCTGAAATGGCAGCCACATAGACTCTGAGAGTAGCAGGACATGTACCTGCAGACAGTCTTTCTTGCAGGAACTCCAGCACTGAAATAACTTGGACTGGGTTTGCTCAGTGTCCAGCGCACCATCTTTCAAAAACACACCATTTGAAGGCATAACGTCTTCTAGTGAAGGGAGCCCTAGCACGTAGAATAGTTTCCACTGCACCAGATAAAAGAGCAGCATCTCTTAGTTGGTTTCAGAGCTTGGACCGGGGAGGAAATATCGTCCCCTGTGCCTGAGATAAGAGGTCTCTCCTTATCAGAATCGCTCACAGTCATGAGGAGGGATATTAGTCCTGAAAACCAAACTCTGGTCAGCCAACGAGGTACTATCAGCAAGAGGCAAGACCCTTGTTGGTGGACCTTGGCCAGGACTCCCAGGGGCAGGGCAATGGGCGGAAATGCATAAAAACCCAGTCTGGGCCACATATGGACCATCGCGCCCAGACTCAGGGGAGCTAGAGGAGTCAGAGAGAAGTAGAGGGGAAGTACTGTCTCCTGCAAGGCAGAGAGGTCCACCTCTGCTCCTTAAAAAATTTTCCCAAATTTGTTTTACTACTTCGGGGTGGAGTTTCCATTCCCTGTGTGTCCTGTCTGGACAGCAAGTCTGCTCCCACATTCATATGCCCTGGAATGTAAGTCGCCCTGAGGGACAGGAACTTGTCCTGAGCCCAAAGCAGAATCTGCTGCGCTAGCTTGTTCAGGCAGCGCAAATGCAGTCCGTCTTGCAGATTTATGTAAGCGACTACTGCAGTATTGTGCACCTGCACTAGGACATGGTAGCCCTTATCTGCAGGAGGAAGATTTCATGGCCATAAATACAGCCAACATTTCGAGGAAAATGCTGCGCCGATCAGGAAGATGACCTCTCCAGATCCCTTTGGCTGGATGGCCATCAAAGACCGCACCCCAGCCCATGCAAGAAGGGTCTGTCATTAACTTCTTGCGACAAAAACACTCACCTAGAGTAGGACCCAAGGTAAGAAACCGGGGTCTGAACCACATAGAAAGGGGACAAATCTGCAGCGTGTAATCCTTATCTGCCCTGGGGGATTGGCCCTTGGATAAATCCCCTGGCTCTGAGCCACAACTTAAATGATCTCGTATGCAGGAGGCCCGAATTTATCATCGTGGGTGCAGCTGCCATGAGACCTAGAAAAGTAACGGAAAATAATTTCCTGACCTAGCCTAGCCTGATGTATTTTGGGGTGTTTAGAATACATTCAGGAGACAGCTATGCCTGCAATGTGATCAAATTCCATATGATCCTTAAAGGGTTAGTTCACCCCAAAATGAAAATTATGTCATTAATTACTCACCCTCATGTCGTTTCAAACCCGTAAGACCTTCGTTCATCTTCGGAACACAAATTAAGATATTTTTGATGAAATGTGAGAGCTCTCAGACCCTCATAGACAGCAGCACAACTGAAATATTCCCAGACAGAAACGTAGTAAGGACATCGGTAAAACAGTCCATGTGACATCAGTGGCTCAACTTCAGTTTTGCGAAGCTATGAGAATACTTCTTGAGTGCAAAGAAAACAAAAATAACATAATTTATTCAACAATTCTTCTCCCCCGAGTTACGTCTTCTGCCATTCTGGAGAGTATCTAAAAGCGTAATCTGTGTAATTGTTACGGGGCTGACAAGACGTGAGACATATGGATCCATTTGCAAACTTTATTCACAGGCGTGGTCAGAAACAGGCATGGGTCAGACAATGGCAAACTGGTATGGAGAAGACAAGGCAAGGGCAATCCGGTAAACTAGCGAGGGTCAGTCGACAGCAAACGGAATCCAACAGGGCGAGACAAGAGGGATAAATCCAGGTACACAGGCAAAGATCAGAACATAGAAAAACAGACAAAGCAAGACTCCACTAAGGCTAGGAAAACTAAGCAGGCTCCGTAAGGTAGCTATCAGCTAAACAATGATATTCGCTAAACAATACTCGGCAGTGGGAAGGGATCAGAGTGAGTGTTAAATAGGGGATGTGTGATTGATTACAGCTGTGTGCAATCAGTGCTGTGTGCAATCAACTGGGTGCGTGTCATCAGTGCAGTGGATGATGGGATATGTAGTCCGGAGTGATATGCAACAGTGTGTAGTGCGAGAGTCAATGAAATGGAAAGGGTGACCTCTGATGGCTAGCAGACGGAAGTTCATGGACCAGATACGTGACAGTAATCAGCGTTGTTTACGCTTAGGGGAAAGCATGCGTATGTGTTGTGATACTCTCCAAAATGGCAGAAGACGTAACTCGGGAAAATAATTGTTGAATAAATGATGTTATTTTTGTTTTCTTTGCACTCAAGAAGTATTCTCATAGCTTTGCAAAACTGAAGTTGAGCCACTGATTTACCGATGTCCTTACTACGTTTCTGTCTGGGAATATTTCAGTTGTGTTGCTGTCTATGAGGGTCTGAGAGCTCTCACATTTCATCAACAATATCTCAATTTGTGTTCCGAAGATGAACGAAGGTCTTACGGGTTTGAAACGACATGAGGGTGAGTAATTAATGACAGAATTTTCATTTTTGGGTGAACTAACCCTTTAAGTACATTGTCCTCTGGGCAGGAGAGAGAACGTTTTACTTGCCATTGAGCCTCAAACCCAGAGACTTGAGATGAGCAATGACGACATCGCTGTGTCGAAGTGCAAGCTCTTGAGACTGAGCCAAAATCAGCCAGTCGTCTATGTAATTTAAAATGCAGATGCCCTGGAGTCGTAAAGGAGCCAGTGCTGCGTTCATATATTTCATGTATATGTGAGGTGACAAGGCTAGGTCGAACAGAAGAACTCAATACTTGTAAGCTTTGCCCCCAAAAGTGTATCCCTGGATTAAATTTGAGATACAATCATTTTGATTGTTAGTATTTTGTACTTGTATGTTCTGAGAAAGAGGTTCAAACTGCGATCTAAAATTGGATGCAAACCCCCATCTTTCTTGGGAATCAAAAAGTATCAGCTGTAATAGCCCGACTCTGTCTGGGAGGGGAATACGTTCACATCTGCTCTGGTTTCACAGTAGTGGAGAACATGTTGTTGAAACGTGAAGCATGATACACACACTGTATATTGTATCCTCTTTCTACAGTCCTTACGACCCAAGGAGAGATATTTGGTTAGTTTCCATGCTGCCAGCTTCTCTGAAAGGGGCACTAGTTTTGACACTTCAGTTTGCTGGGGGATGTTAAATGTTTAGTGTCCTGAAACATTTGCAGAAAACTTGTAACATTTTGCTGGAAGGAGCTCTTACTCTCTGTGGGAATATTTCTACAAATGATTGTAGAAGCAGACAAATTGTCGGACGTGTTCGAGAGAGGTTCACTGATTGACTGATAGTTTTGATGCAACTGTCCGATCTGATTCAGTCTGATTTGGTGAACCGGTTGAAAGATTCACAGAAAAGAACTGTTCAAAATAACGATATGCATACAGACTGGAAATCACTGCTCCAGTGGCTTGAGACAGACCTTCTCCTGAAAAATACACATTATTTGTCTGTTTTGTTCTTTACATCCCAGCCTGGAACCCCATTCACTGCCAACACCTCGAGTGTCACAACTCTATTAATAAGCCAGCGGTGAAGGTACTGTAACTCTTTACCTGTTTTTTATACTTATTTGCTTTGACATCTAGTCAAAATGTTGTAGATTTTGTGGGATTGTGGGATTTTTAGGGAGCACACATTTCAGTGCACTGAAAGGATTTTGCGATTGAGACAAGAACTTCAAAGCATATAAATGCCCAGAATCATTTCAAAAATACACCCCTGGTACTGATTCATTGTCTTTATCCCTGCAAATATTTGCTCTGTGTAATAAAACATAGAAACAGAGCAGGAAGAGACATGCTGTAACTCAATTACCAGGAGCTCAACCCTGTTACCGCTCTGATCTAACACTGAGATACTGAGACCAGTGCATGCACTATATGGGGTTTATTTTAGAAGATATTAAAAACCAACAGTTTGTTGTCAGATCTAGTGAGGCTGTCAGAGAGGTAAAAAGATTTATTATAATTATTACGACATGTCAAGTCAAGTCAAAGCTGCTTTACAGTGTCAAACAGGAAAATAGTTTGTCAATAATGCAAGAAGACAATACCAGAGTAATTTTTCAGCTAAAGTCAGTTATTGATGATTCAGTGATGTCATCATCCAGTTCAGCTCTCTTCAATAGCGTCTGTGCAATCATCCAAAATGATGGTTTGTCCTGAGATACTTATAATACTGTGATGCTTACGATCACTTGACTCAAGCAATATCTCATTTACACAACACTAAAATTGAGAAAAGGATTTTAAAAAAGGAGAAAAGGAAAAAAGATAGACAAAATAAAATAGTTATGCAAAATACCCTAAACATAACTCTTGTACTTTTAGTAGTGTTTTTGTACTTTTTGAGCAATAAGACACACGTTTTGAGAGTGGTGAGTGTTTGAGGGTCTGTGTCTCCGTCCTGCTTTCAGATGTGCATTGATCCAACACTCTCGGTCACGCTGGGTGACAAACCTCCACCGTTATACATCTGTGAGGAGTGCAGCCAGAGGATCGCTGGGTAAGCTGCATTATTTCAGCATGCAGTTCATTGTGTATCTGCTGCATTACTGCGGTGAATATCCAGAATCATCTGCTCAGCCTTCAACTGCCAATCTCTTCTTAAAGGGGTAAAAAGGTCCACTTTAATAAGGTCTACTTTTAATCTTATAATTGTGTTTAGTGAGGAAAGAAGAATGAAGCTCATGATTTAATTGTGTTTCTGGGTTATTTTACCCATTTTGTTGTTTGTATCTCACTTTGATAAACTTTCCTATTTAAAAAAAAAGAAAGAAAGAAAAGAAAAGAAAAGCCTATGGCTCCCACTGATACACTTTCTGTTGATGTTTAATGATGCTTGAAGTATAATAGTGAATGATAACAGTGGATTGGACAGGGTGACTTTATAATGGTCCAGCCACTCTTGTTTGACTGTGTGTTAACCCAAAGTTGTGCAAAGTCATGAAAGTACAGAACAAGATGATTTTTCGTATGATTCTGCATGTCATGATCCCTTTAAATTTGCGCTGTAGACATTTTTATCGGTCTGTCAGCTCATATTAGATGATTAGCATCAGACCTTGAGCTAGAGAAGGAGATGTGAGAATGTTCTGTCATCTTTCACAGCGATCATGCTGAGTGGCTCGTTGATGTGCTTTTACCACAAGGTCAGTGACACATCCTCATTTTAAAACTATAACTGCACACACTCGTGTATTTACTTAAAGGAACAGTTCACCCAAAAATGATCATTCTGTCATCCTTTAAAATAAGGTTCAATTTGATATAATTAGTTAGTGCATTAGGTACCATGAACTATCAATGAAAAACTTTACAGCATTTATTAATCTAGATTAATGTTAAAATATACATAAATGATTGTTAATTCATGTTTGTTCATAATAATGTAAATTTATACTTGAAATGCTAGAACGTTTTAGCATATCCTCCTGAGGCCCAGCTATGGAGTTTTTGCCTCTGTAGTGGACATTATATTTGAGTGTATTTCTCCGAGACCTCACGTCACAGTTTTAAGTCTGGGTGTCCTGTACAGAGCACATTCAGGGCTTTCCAGAGATGCAAAATGACTGGATGTTTCACCGTGACCACTCCCTCTCCTTGGTTTTTAAAAATGGCTGACTTTAATTTAGTGATAAAATTGTACGAAAATTACATCTCCCCAGATGAATAAATGCTATAAAAGGACAATTCATTGTTAGTTCACAGTAAAGCTAACATGTCTTATCGTATTCTTATCTTGTATTATAACAATGCCCCTTATGATTTCATCCTTACAGCTGAAATTTCTGCTATATGTCAGAAGAAGGTAAGCCTGGTGTGTGTGTGTGTGTGTGTCCATGTCATCATCTATAGGTCATCCATTATCAGCTCATCTGTGAACTAGCACATCTCATCTATAAATGCTGTACAAATGAAGAGCCGGTTTCTGTCGCCTGCTCCACATTTTCCTCTGCAGCCGATCAGATTGCCATTGTTACTGAGTTTCTGAAGTGAAGGTCTCTGTCCTGCGCATTACGTGTGTTTGTGTCGTTCTCGTCCCTTCATCGACCATCTCTTCCTCTCATCCGTCTCTCCATCACAGAACTGCAGCTCTCACGTCAGGCGTGCTGTCGTCACCTGCTTCTCAGCGGGATGCTGCGGTCGCCACGGCAACCGGCCCGTGCGCTACTGCAAGCGTTGTCATGTCAACCACCACAGCAGCGAGGTGGGGGCATCAGCGGAGACGCATCTGTACCAGACGTCTCCTCCGCCCATCAACACGCGCGAGTGCGGCGCGGAGGAGCTGGTGTGCACCGTGGAGGCGGTCATCAGGTGCGGACAAACACACTCAGTACCTGCTCCCTTCATAAAGAGGACTTTCAGTTCAGGATTTTCTTTCGTAATGTCAGACAGAAACAATGCTGTTAGGAAATTGAGTCTCACCAGGTCCAAAAACTGCAGTAAAAATACTCTTGACAGCACTGGATGTGAATAAGACACATTCGATATAAAAATACTAATTCACTGGCAGCCAAACGTTTGTAACAATTAAGATTTTTAAATGTTTTTGAAAGAAGACTTCTGCTCACGAAAGCTGCATTTATGTAATGCATTTAGTTATTTATTAATTTATTATCAAAGCTGTATTTTCAGCATCATTCCTCCAGTCTTCAGTGTCACATGATCTTCAGAAATCAGTATAATATGCTGATTCACTCTTTGTCAGAGCATGTGTTAAATTGAATAACATATATGTTAATATGAAACCAGCATTAATCAGTGAGATGTATGTCACTGTCGCCCGCCGCAGTCTGCTGAAAGAGGCTGAGATCCACGCGGAGCTGCGGGAGTTTGAGCTGAACCGCCGCCGTCAGATGGGTCTGTCTTCATCCCATCATTCCCTGGACAACATGGAGTTTGACAACAAAGAGGACGACCAGCACGACCAGAGACTGCTCAGTCAGTTCGGCATCTGGTTCCTGGTGAGAAGCTATGCGTGACCCTTATGGTCAGATGACGTGTTACATGAGCAGCAATATTATACCTGCTAACATCATAACACCGTCTGCTGGCAGTCGTATCACAGCTAGAGGTGCGAGATAATAAGCAACAATACGCATCATGATTTTTAAGGGTGCTTCACACTTGGTTCGATTGCCGGGTCCGAACCGAGATCGATGGCTCCACCTGTTGCTAGGTAACGACTGTGCAGAAGAAGGCAAGTGAATGGATGCCTGCTCGCTTCATTTGTGTACTTTGGAGTTTGAAAATGTAGGTTAGTTTCCAAAGCGGCAACGCAGAGCGGCACATGTGTCTATTTGTCATGACTGCAATGCAAAGGTTCAGAAGAACGCAGCAGTCAGTTTCTGCGAGCAGAAATTAAATTCTCAGTGCTTGCAGTGCGTCAGTCACGCTTATCAGGAAAGCGAGTGAGGAAACACATAAATACACAGTCTGACCAGTTCATACCGTATTACTTGTGTTCACATCAGAAGTGAACTGTACCCCACACCACGCTTTCACACAGTTCAGAAAACAGCGTTCACATTATCCTAACAAACACGAGTTTGCACCATCTCATCACATTTTGTTCAGACTGAAAACTCACATTCACAAGGATCAGGATGAGTTTGTTTCTTCATCAGATTTGGAGAAATGTAGCACTGCATCAGTGTCTCAGCAATGGATGCTCTGCAGTGAATGGGTGCCGTCAGAATGAGAGTCCAAACAGCTGATAAAAACATCACAATAATCCACACCACTCCAGTCCATCAGTTAACATCTGGAGAAGACAAAAGCAGAGACTAATCCATCAAGACGTTTTTAACTTCAAACCATTGTTTCTGGCTCAGATAGGAGCCCTCTATTTTTTCTGCATTCACTGCAGAGCATCCATTGCTGAGACACTGATGCAGTGCTACATTTCTCCAAACCTGATGAAGAAACAAACTCATCCTGATCTTAGCCTGAGGGTGAGCACATTTTCAGCAAAGTTCATTTTTGGGTGAACTATTGATTTAACTGGTGTATGGCCCGCCTGTAGTAGCAGCTTTCCCATGACTGATGCTGTCTCTGTAAACGAGTAAACTAACGAGCACACACTCGATCAGGTGAGTCTGTGCACGCCGAGCGAGAACACGCCGACAGAGAGTCTGGCGCGGCTGGTCAGCATGGTGTTCCAGTGGTTCCACTCCACCGCCTACATGATGGACGACGAGGTGGGCAGCCTGGTGGAGAAGCTCAAGCCTCAGTTCGTCACCAAGTGGCTGAAGACGGTGTGTGACGTGCGCTTCGATGTCATGGTCATGTGCCTTCTGCCCAAACCGGTGGAGTTCGCCAGGGTGAGTGAACCGAGCGCTGATGTTACTCATGCGTTGCAGTGATTCAAGCGTTCTGTGATTTCAGCATCCGTGTGTGTGTGTGTGTGAGTGTGTGTGTGTGTGACTCTGTGTGTGTGTGTGAGTGTGTGACTCTGTGTGAGTGTGTGACTCTGTGTGTGTGTGAGAGTGTGACTCTGTGTGAGTGTGTGACTCTGTGTGTGTGTGAGAGTGTGACTCTGTGTGAGTGTGTGACTCTGTGTGTGTGTGAGAGTGTGACTCTGTGTGAGTGTGTGACTCTGTGTGTGTGTGTGAGTGTGTGTGTGTGTGTGACCCTGTGTGCATGTGGATCTGGCCGTGTGTGTGTGTGTGGATCTGGCCGTGTGTGTGTGTGTGTGTGTGTGTGTGTGTGTGTGTGT